GTGTAGATGAGGCTAAGAATGAGCTGGCCACCATGACTAAGCCTCACTGTTAAGATGAGGGTGTTGAGGCCAAGAAAGCTGATTGGATCCAATAACCTAGTGCATGTGGGAAGTAAATATTCAGCGATAAATACAGAGCATTTGGAATCAATACAACAAAGAGAACAAACACATATCTGCGGTATCTAGAGAGGACAGACATTTTTGTCAGGGCCATAGCTGGAGAGAAAGGCAGGAGGAGAGGATGAAAGATCTGAATTACCTGAGAATTTATTCAAGAGACTAGGTTCAACGGAATACTCCCAAATGTGTTTGAATGGGCAAGATCAAGTTTCTTACCATCAATAAAAAAGATTTGAATGTTGCATTTGTTTCCTAAAGTTGTTGTTACTAAACACCACCAACTGGGTGCCTGAAACAATAGAAATTCATTCTCTCACAATTTTCTTTCTCAGTTATGGGGCTAGAAGTCCAAGATCTAGATGTTCATGTGGTTATTGCCTTCTAAGAACCAAGAGAGAAACTGCTCACTGCTTTTCCCCACCCTGTCCTCCCAACCTCAACTTCAAGGGGGTTGTCTTCGGTGCCCTTGGCTTGCAGAAGAAGCACTCTGATCTCTGCCATTCCCTCCAATGGTGTTCTTCCTGTCTGCCTGTCTGTGTCTAAACAAGGACACCAGTCATATGGTTTAGAACCATCCTAATGACCTCGTTTTAATTTCAATACCTCTATAAAGACCCTATCTCCAAATAAGATTATAATCTGAGGCACTAGAACTTTTCTTTTGGGGAAAACAAATTTCAGTCCATAACAAGTGTTAACACCTGAATTATGTAGACTGACACTTGTACCCCTACTGGTCTATTTCACTTGCATTAAGAATCAAGAAAAGCAGCAGTGAGGTCTGGCCTTGAAGATGCTTGTTCTGTCACTTAGAAAACATTTTCACTCAAGTTTGTTTCTATGTTTAGCAGAATTTACAAATAATCTCCTGAAAATCCACTGCCTTATTTCAGCAGAGGCAAAACCCTGGAGGCTCCAGGGATGACCCCACTGGCCACCAAGTCCACCAGAGAAGTGGCCTCAGAGGCAGCAGGGTAATGTAAGCAGTGGAGCGTCCTGCATTGCAACCGTAGCATAAGAGATACCAAGGACTAGCCAAGAAGGCCTCCCAGGGTGACTGGGAGCAGAGAGAAGTACAGAGGCTAGGAAACTCAGCTGATGGGTCCATTTGACATATTCCTCAAGACCCATAACCTCCTCATAATTCACATTCCTGCTCATCCCAGCAAAAGCTAGAGAGTGACCTCAGGACGTGGTCTCTGGGGATGAAGGTTAGGTGCCTGTGGCAGCATTTTGAATTGTCAAGTAGAAAGCAGGCAAGATTAATTCTAAACTCAGAGAGGAAGAAACCTATCAGAAGCCAGTTCACTCTCAACTGATCAATACCTGAAATGAGGTCAGCAGCTCAGCAACAGCAGGCATTTTGTGGAGTTTCTGAAGTACTGTGGAGCCTGCCATTCTCTCTTGACAGTTTCTATAATATCATGTCCAGTTAGGCAGTTGGTTATGGAGCCTACTCCAAGGCTATCATTTTCTTCATGTATGTCAGAAGTTGACAGCTCGTGGAGGGTGGGTTTGTCAGCACAATAAGGAGCTAAACTGCTAGAAATGACTGCTGTACATTCTGTCTAGAGTGTACCTTAGAAAATCTCTTGTGACGAAAACACAGAGACAAACCACAGGGAGCTGATGAGTGGCTCACACCTAACTGTTAGATCAGGTTTACTCAGAAAAGCACAAATTGCATATTATGCTCACCGCAGGGCGGAAGTGCTAGAAAATCACCAGTATGACTGGTGGGGTACGGTAAATAAATCACCACCTGATACCATGACTCTGACTGGGGAATCTAGGCAGCTGATGTATACCACCTACAGAGTTCCCAGGGACATACTCCAGTCACCCAGGTGGGGGCTTAATACATCCCTTGAATGGTCCCCCCTCTTCGTCATCACTTCCTCCTTCCTCTGCTGGTATTTCCATATATTACTTCCCAAATAAACTCCTGGCACCCAAAGCCTTGCCTCAGGGAAGACCCAACCTAGGACAACTACCCACTAAATTGGATTGTTCCCATTCACCAAAATATCATTAAGTTCTGAATGTGGATTTTCTGAAAAATCTGTGTTCAGCACTGTGTGGACTGGGAAAATGCAACATACATGGCAGACAACCTCTGGGATGGGCTGCAGGTGAGAATGGTAGTGAAGGGGGCAGAGAACAGTAGATCTCACTGAGACAGTAAGGATGGGTGCAGAGGAAATATTTTCTCCCATTCCTACAACAGATCTGAAAGTAAGAACAGCGCACTCTCTCACATCTTTTTCATTCCTTTCCATGTGCTGATACAAGGAGGTGTCATATACATGGGACTAATTCTCACTGGCTCTGTATGGATCTAGCCTGTCCACAGACCTCAGGAATCTCTGCACTTTTCTCCACACTTGCCCACACCTTAAAAATCTACCTTTTACCCTGGTGGACTCTAGATGCCCTGTTTTTGATCAGAGGGTCAATAGTTCAATTCAGACAGAGAAGACTATGATGATATGTGCTGGTGTCCAGCCAAGTGCTCCCTGGATTGAAATAAGGCAAGTTCTCTGAGCTCTTTGGGGTTCCTGGGCCCAGTTCATGCCTTGTCCAAGATCCAGAGGGCAGATAACATGAATACTAGTTCTTTCAAATACCAGCAGCCATCACATATGCTACTTACATGATGGAACAACGGGAGAAGGGCCCTTTCTCTTACATGGTTGGCAGAGAAGTGTTTTATGGCTTCCTTTTGTGAGTTAAAGTTCAGATGGCCAACCCAGGAATAAATAGGCAGCAGCAGGTGGCAGGAATCACACAGCCCAGCTCCAGCTGCAAACATCTGGCTTCACTTGGACTCCCTGAATGAAAATTAGTTCTCCTCACCTCCTCAAAACACCTGCTCTGAAAAGCATACAGCCTGACTGACAGTGGCACAGGAATGAGGACCATTTGTGTAGCCTTAACCAAGTACTTCAATTCTCAGAACTGCAGAGGAACCTCTTTTCCTCCTACCTTTTGCCCAAATCCACATTGTTAGATCTCCATGAACAAACTTGATTATCCTCTGGCAAGTCTTTTTGATTTTGTGCTGCAACCAGACCCCAAAGTGTCTTGCACCCAAACTCTACTCCATTGACTAGAACATCTGAATGCTTCTTCCAGCTTTAGGACTCTCTTTTTCTGGAATACAGAATCCCCCACACTTGAAACTTCTTGTCACCTCAATTCCTCCAGCATGAGAGTCACTGCCTCACCCTACCTGGAAGTCAAGTAACTAAATGCAAATAATCTCCTGAAAAGCTCCTTTACAGGCAAAACTCTCAAGGCTCTAGAGAAGACCACACTGGTCACCAAGTCCATCAGAGAAGAAACCCTTGGAAGGAGCACAGTTATCATTACTGGGTTGTGCACTGCAAAGGAGGGAGAGCCACGTGCTGTGTCCCACAGGCCCAGGGCAGAGAGGAGGAGATAGACACCAACAGGGGCAGCAGACCCCCTTTCTGGGGTAGACTCTATGCCCTCTGGGCTATATGACAAATTCATTTCTAAGAGATGTGATGAGTGCAGAAGTTCCATAACAGTGAGATCTTGCAAAAACTATTTCTAAGGTACTGGCCTACGTAAGTCAAGTGAGGTGGATTTGTGCTAACCAAGGGAGTTTAGACTATCATGGGCAGTTCCCTGTAGTGGGGCTTGATCAGAAGAATGGTCTCCCTCCTCCTAGGAACTCTTAGTCTCTCCATTACCTGATGCTCCAGAAAAGTCATCAGGCCTCTGCTGAGGCAAAACACAAAGGGGGGCCCAACCCTGAGCAAAAAAAATCAGAATAACCAGAACAATTGTGACCTAGGGGAAAGGAAACCCATCAACTGTCCCTTCTTTACAAGAGATGCACAATTCAAATTCAACATTACAGATGTTTTACCTACAGAGTAAAAATCTAAAATGTTGTTTATGCTGTCCAGCCCAAATGCCTTTGACAGGATGGGTGAATATTAAAGGCCCCTGGCTGGGACCTTTGGTTGTGGCTGCCACTCTTTCCACCAGGATGGACACTTTAGACTATTCCTAGAATATCATTCTTTGTGTCAAGTGTAGTTATTTTGCTCACATCTCACACCTTTGGTCTACTGGTGTAAATCTTGGACTGAGAGCTAGTAACCCCAGTTTGGGCCTCGCTCAGCACTGAACAGCTACAGATCAAGGGGATATCTCATACCTGTTCTAAATCCACCCTTCCCTACTTCAGAAAATAGATGGATAAACCAGGAAATTGCTAAGGTTATTTCCATCTCCTAAAATATCTCTACTTCTACTCAATTTAAAGATATACAGAGGTTTAATTGCTGGCATAAGCCATGTTCAGGAAAGGGGGTAAGAGAGGCAGATGGTTGAGAATAACACCTTTTCAAGACACCATTAAAAAGTAATTTATATTTCAAGACTCCCATTCTGTCTTCTTGGAAAGCCTGAAAGAAATTCCTTCTTTTATCTGGTTGCCAGACAACCTTTCTATGGAAGCTTTCATTTTCCTCTTTTAAAAAGAAATATAAATCTGGCATTGGATACCAGGTTAGGAGGAAAAGCTGACTTCAGGTGTCCCTCTGCAAGAATATGAATTATGGTTGCCTATCAGTAGTTTGACTGAAATTGAAAGAATTTAAGGAGAACACTTTCAGGTAGCTGATAAAAGTAAAAATGACTAGTAGATACCGGAGGCTAGAAAAAGCCATAGAAAGGATGATAATTAAATGGTTCATTATATTTAGTGATTCTCTATATCACAAAAAAGTCTTCCAAATAGTATTTCATCCTCCTATTAACCTTTTGAGTAAGAAGAACAGATAGTCCCTTTTTAAACTGATGAACAAATTACACCCAAAAGAATAAAATGACTTGCCTTATATTTCCATATCCAAATAATGGCAGAGCCCAGGTTTGCAGCCTCCAGCTTGGTATTTGACTTTTGGGTGAGCATCTACAGGAGAGAAAGAAAGGTTATTTTCATCACTCAGCTACCCTTGGTTCAGCAGCCCCAAGAAGGGCCAGGACAGAGAAATGAAAAGACACACAGGCCAATAGGTAGTATAAATCTAGGCAAGAAAATCCTGGGTTACTTTTATAAGGGCAGGAAGAATCACATTTCCTTTGTCTCAATTCCCTGCCCAGCCCCTGGGAGAATATTCTTTCCAGGGCAACCAGGGCATCTCCATTTTTCAGGAATCAGCACCATGTTTTAGAAAGGAACAGAAAGAGGCTCAACGATTGGAACCCTAACATTAGGATAATGCCAAATTCAGCAAAAGAAATTATTTTCTTTCCATCCCTGGTACCACCTGCCAGTCTACAGAAATAAAGACCATTTGTCACATTGTAATTTATTTGTTTATATGTCTATCTTTCTATTAGACTGTAAATCCCTTAAAGACAAAGACTGATGAAGCATTCAGGTAGGCTGAAATTGGCAGGGAGAAACCACTTCCACTTAATCTGTAAAGTTACATGCCTGATTTATTTGATCAAGAATGCTAGAGCTGAAGCAGAGGAGGCTGTTCTTAGCAGTTTCCCTTAGTGCCCAGGGTACCTGAGGGACTAGGTCTCAGGGTGCTGCCCAAGCCTAATCTTCTCATACCTAAGACTTGCATCACTGCTCAAGAATGTATGCAAACAATTCATGCCTTTGATAGGAACTATTTCTGAATACCCAAAATCCTTTTGGTTATTAGGTCAAATCCAGTATCGACAAGGCCACATGCAGAGGAAAGGGATGAGATAGGAGGACAGCATATAAATCAAGTATCACACTCTTCAAGGACAATACAACTATCTCCAGGTGCCCAGAGAGCTGGGAAATTTATTTCCCTACCATTTCTTAATTATTTTGCTCCCTTGTGCCTATACAAAATCTGGCCCATGGTTTGCACCTCACATGGATTCTTCAATTGACTACATTACTTATTTCTTATAGCTGGATTCCATGCAAACTACACAAACATGAGCTTTGGAGACATTAAGTGGCTTAAATGTTGACCCAGTCAGTTGGTGGCAAAACCTTGGTCTATGAGCATTAATTTCACACTTTTCTTCTATTATACCATACAACTCTTCTCCTTCTAAAAATCTGCAGGAGTTCCCTGTGGTTTAGCACATCAAAGTTCAACGTTTCTGCTGTGTCCTTTTCCCCAAGTGCTCCCAATCTCTCCATCTTTTTCCACATTAACCAAAGATTCTCTTTGTAGTCAAGCATACCTGCTGGTTATTCTTTCATTCCTGTCTTCTCATAAATCCTTGACCAGACATCCCCTGCCTATTTTTACAAATTCATATCTCTATTTTTCTCCAGGAAGTCCACCCAAACTAGTACCACTTTACTCCATTCTACTTTAGCCACTCCCCCGTCAGCATTTCAACAGGGCTTATATTCTCTTCATGGTTTACACGGACAGACCGACATTGAATAAAGATTTGTTGAGTGAATAAATATTCTATGGATTCTGTTTCTGAGCCATCTCCCAAATGACTTGTTCCCACTGCTACAGTCACAGGTAAGCCTCTCATAATTGTTCCCATGGACAATCAAAATAGCTTCCTAAAACCGTCCTCTGCTTTCAGTCTCCTACTCAGACTCCACAGGCCACCAGACTGAACTTTCTAAAAAAAAAAAAAAATCTGATCACAGTTTGTATTTTTCAGGGCTTTCAATGCTTTTAGGGAAAAGTCTAAAGCTGTTAGCACGGCTTCCAAATCTCATCACAACAAGTCTCAAACAATTCTATTTGTCTCCATTACTTTCCACTGATGCTATATCCATGTTTGAATTACCTTCAAACACAGGTGAATAACTTGTCAATGCTATTCCTTTGGCCAGAGACATCTCTGCCTGATGAACTTTTTCTTATATTTTCGGACTTATCACAAATATCACCACCACAGCCTAGATGACTGCTCAATCCAACTATACTCTGAACCCCACCACCAATTTAGTCCAGGGACAGGTCCCTGTGCACAATGCACTGAAATTTCTTGCTGGTCACTCTTGTCCCTTGTTTTGTGAGCCTCTTTAAAGCAGGACCAGATGTTCTTGTCTTTTACATTCACAGTATCTAGCTCCTAGGATGCTCTCAGTGTTGCTGATTAAATGAACAAAGCATTTCATTCACACCATGTAAATTTGCATTCACACAAACCCAACACTTTGAGTTGAAAAATGATACTACAAAATATCTTTTTCTAAACCGATTATTTTTCCTATGAAGAAATTTCAACCTACAAGGATACAAGTGATTTTCCCAAGATCATGAAGAGGCAACAAAGGACCCTGATTGATACCACCTTCTGCTTTTTGGTGCATAGGAAGTCATGATGTCCTAGAACAGAGTAAGCAGCTCAAGGGAACACATTTTTAAAGTGTCCTCTACCTTCTTTTACATTTCCTATACAAATGCCTCTATATCTTTGTCTAAATTCAACAAATGTCACAGACTGAATGACATTTGTAGACCTACATCTCTGCTTTGCCACTGTAGTGTTACTCCTTGATAATATTCTAAGCACATTTTAGTGAGTCAATTCAGTTTCTTGAAATGTTAAAAATTCCTTAGATCCCTTGAATTTTTTAACTCCTCCTAGGATGATATGCATATTTAAAGATTTAAGTTAAATAATTATGGACACTGATTTGTTCTAATATCCAAGATAAAATTAGAAAGTTCCCAATTTATACAATAAATTTAGACAGGCATCAACGTCTAACTCTTCCATTCAAACTTTTGTCTCACAATATGATGCTAAGGATAATTTGCACTTTTCAGATGGAAAAAGTCAAAGAAAGATGATAATAGTGATAATCAGAGTAATAACAGACACATGGAGGAGCAGCAAAAGAAGTGACTCTGTCAGTCAGTGGGAAAATGAGGCGCTCAGATTCCTCCTTACTCTTTTTTTTTTTTCAATCTTCTACAACACTAACACAAAGAGAAATGCTCCTTTTCAGGGAAAAAAATGATGAATTCCTACTTTACTCTTTTGAGCTATACAAGGCAAAGTGCCTCTGAATTCATCACTGCTTCCTATCTGTTGACACTATCAGTTCTAACTTTGCATTCTTCTAACAACAGAAAGTTAGTTTTAAAAGGTTCCAAGAATTTTGTTCAAGTAGATACACAACAAAGATTTTTCAATCATTTGCCATAGAAAGGGAAATGGCCACTTTAGAGAGATTTAGTAGCTTTTAACAGTACATTCTGTGCTAATGTATGCACAGCCTGTAAGCGAGGAGGTTATCTTTACACTCCTGCTAATACACTCCATTTCCACTCTTTTGTCCTGCTTATACTTAAAACAGGCTTCAGTAGTCACATTCCTGTCATTTTGTGCTATCTCAAAGTTAAATCATAATGAGCTTTGAGATTGTTAGTTATTTCTCTCTTGTTTCTGCAGAAATGCGGGCTCCTTTTCCATTTTAGAGGATCTAAGCCTCCAGGTTTCTATGATTGCCTCTCACGCCTTCTCTCGTCTTTTATTCTCTTCTCTTCTTTGGCTCAAAAAGCAAACTCATTACCAAACCAAATGTATAAGCCTCCCACACAGAATCTGGAGGAGAAAGACATCCCATTTAACTGAGAGGAGGCATTTCTGAGGCTAGCCTGGGCCCTCAGCATCCCCAGCCTGCAGGACATGCCAAGTGTAGCCAGACTGAATACAGACCCATTTTCTCGGGGACTGCTCTGTCATCTGAACAAAGCCATTGACTTGGGAAAGCAGCTATTTTTTCCTTGGATCACACTATTACTAGACAGTTTGCAATTTAAAAACTAAAATGTTTACAATAATAACAATGTCATGATAATAGCAAACATTTATGAGCCTTATATGTGCCAGGCACTCATCAAGGTATTTTACATGTATTCTCTCTTTTAAGCCTCACAACTACTCTGTGAGGTATATGCTATAATGACCTTTATTTTACAGATGAAAAAACTGAAGCTTAGAGAGGTGAGTAACTTGCCCGAGATCACAGATATAGTGGGCGGAAGATGTAGACTAAATTTCAGATGCTCTGGCTCTGAAGTCATGATCTTTACCACTGTGCTATGCTGCTTCAAATTAAATGACAAATGCATCTATGAATAATATTCTTCTCACAAAAACTGTCATGGAATCCATCTTGAAATTCAGAGAAGAGATAATAAAAATAATAAGAACATTTATTAAAGGCTTACTATGTGCTAGATATGCAACTTACAACAATCTTATAGGTAGGTGTTATTATTACTCCTCATTTTCCAAATGAGGAGGTAGGTTAAGTAGCTTACCCAAAATCACACAGTAATTGTCAGAGTTAGGGATTGAACTCCTGGGTTCTAACTCCTCTTGGTTTACTTCTCCATCTTATTTCCAAAACATAAGGCAAATGAGGCGCAGAGGGGTGTAGTATGTTATGTAATACAATAACATGATGTAATTCTTTTCAAGGGTAGTTTTTAAAAAGCTCAAACCAAACTCCAGGTCTTCCTAGTCTTCACCAGAGCTGTCCTCCAGATGGTCCTGTTATAGAGCAACCCCGATATTGAACGGGTTCCTGCCTGTGGGTCCTCACCCGTGCGCTTAAAAGGGACTTATGAATACTCCACTACAGGCACACACAAAAGGTTAATAAAAGGTTTATTTACAAGAGAAAGGGAAATAAGGAAAATGTAAAACTCAGGGAGAAAATAGGGAAATAAAGTCTTTAATGCATCCTACCCTATCCGACGACCTGGAAACCCAAAGTCACTCTCAGAGCTGGCCGGACGCTGCGAGCTGGCGGAGAGCCAAAATGGGGATCCCCAAAGCCCACTTGTCTGCCTTTTATATCCACCTGGCTGCTTAACCCCACCCTCAGGTCCCAGCCACCTTCCCTTTGGTGGTGATGGGATTTGGAGTTCCCAGTGTCTTTGGCTTTGACCTGGGGTGGGGGTGGAGTCCACAAAGCCTATA